TATGTATAATGTCTTCTATACGTGTATTATGTTCACTTGAGGCGAGCGTGGCATKTATATTTTACCTACATGGCTGTAGTATAGGGCCGTTTAATATATATATATATAAACCCTTCGATATATCATGATAAAGTGATGGTTTGTACGACAGGATTTCGAGAAACGACGCTATATAAATGAATAAGATCGTTTATATAGCTACAAATGGTATTGCATCCCAGGCCGTAGACTATATATACATTCCATATGTACATAATATTGATATATACATATCGTATACTCATTATAATACCTGTACATTATAGTATATATATTATCAAGTGTAAATGACGTATATATTGTATATTGCGCTTACCGCGTGTTGTGTACGCAACAGATCGCCGTTCTCGGAATCTCTATACATAATAATATATATAACGTTTATCCCGCGCGCTCCCAATTCGAGACCGAGTTCTGAGAGAACCGGAGGGACCGTTTACGATCAGAAATCCGATTTTCAACAAGGTAAAGATGTGTATACACACCCTAAATCAGACGTCATGCGCTCCCGCATGCATATAATAAAATTCTTTACACATTAGGTACATATACATTTTTATTTGTATTATATCCCAGTAGGAGTGTACACCGTTCGGGTTATTTTTGTTCCTTCCCATTCTTTGCGTCTGATATGTACAATATTAAATAATATGTATGATATATATTATATTGTACAATGATATCATGAACATGTTTGTTCGGTCGAAAGATTCCCGCCGCAGCAACGGTCACGGGGACAATATATATAATAATAATGCGGACCCACCGTCACGAATATGTACCGTTATGTAGACGATAGTGTTCAGGACATAATATCATTATTATAACCTTTTTCTCGTTTTATTCCGTTTGGAATTCAACACTACTAGATGCACAGGTGTCACTTGCGCCGTCATGCATTGTATATATGATATATTATAATATGCTATGTATATAAATTGAGTAATAACGCTTAAAATAATATTATAATAACGTTTTCATCGCCAAACGGCGCGGCGGTGTTTATTATAATTTACCTGTACATACTACTATAAGTATATGACGGGCGTCTTATACCTGTTCGTTGTAAATAATCTAAGCGCGTTTAATAAGACATCCAATCGTTCGACACCCAATATACGTAGGTAATAGGTATACATACACTGTAATATAGACGGCGGCGAAACGGGCGTGTATATTATAATAACAATATTATAATTTTTTTTTTTATTGCGGTCACAAATGAATACATTATTATGATTTAAACGCCCGACCGTGGTTTTAAAATATTATGTTGGTATGTTATATTATTATCTTATATCGCGTAGGCGCTCTTCCTTCGCTATAATAGTGTACCTATAAGTTGCAGCGCAGCGTGGAATAGAAAAAAATCGTTTCCCCTTCTCTCCACTGCCATWTGGCCGAGACGAAGCAAACAGTACCACTAAATCGATATTATTGAATATTATATTAATATTAAGCTAAATTATATCATTTTAGATACAATACGCTACCGTATTATAATGTACC